GAAGGCCCGGGCTCCTGGCGCAGCGGCTGCGGGTTCAGGGCCCTCGTCCCTGTGGCCGCCCTGTCCCGCGGGAGCGTCGCGGTGCTCCCGGATGCTCCGTAGCTGCCGAGCTGCTCTGCGGACATTTCCCTGCTCGGATTTCTCTCCTCCGCGCGGCTGCTTCCCATATGTTAGTGCTGTCCTGGCAGCTGTTGCTGTGGGTGGGTGAATCCGGCTTTGGATACCCCGGAAGAAGGCAAATGTCTACCATGGGATACACGGAGTGATCTGCGCCAGGCGGGACTGGGCAGCCGGGCCTGCCTGGGGTTCAACCCGGCTCCCCTGCTGCTGTGGGCGGTTTGGAGGCTGCTGTGGAGCAGGAGCAGGGGCTCCGGCAAGCACAGAGCTGCCGTCCTGGGGGGCATTCCCAGAACAATCCCAGGAGCTTCCTGGGCCTGACGGGAGCTTTGTGTTGCAGACACGCCGCAGGCAAAGCCCAGCACGGCGGCTTCCTGGTGGCTGTGAAGCAGGAGAAGGGCGAGGGCGCCCGGGCGAGCGGCGAGAAGGCGCCGGGCGAGGAGGAGGTGAGAGTGGCCGTGTGGGCCCCGCGCGTTGGCTGCCGCGTGGCAGCAGGCGGCTCTTGTCCGTCCCTGTCCCCCTTGCGCCACACGTGTGTCACAGGGCTGCTCTCGTAATATTTAGGCCTTGTCTAGGGGTTTTCCCTCCGCTTGCCCTTCGGTATCCCGAGCCCAGCGGTGCCACAGAATTGGGCCAACTTGTGGCTACCGCTGTGGCCTGAGGAAAGGCCAAGCCCTCCTCTCTCCCAAGGGATGTGAGGCCCAGGTGGGTCTGTGCGTGGCTTCCCTCCCTGCAATGGCATCACGTGCTGCGATTCGTGCTGGACTGTCCCTTCTCCTTCTCTTGGTGCCAGCCGGTGAAGAAGAGGGGCTGGCCCAAGGGCAAGAAAAGGAAGAAGATCCTTCCCAATGGCCCCAAAGCCCCTGTGACCGGCTACGTCCGATTCCTGAACGAGCGGCGCGAGCAGATCCGCATGCAGCACCCGGACCTGCCCTTCCCGGAGATCACCAAGATGCTGGGGGCTGAGTGGAGCAAACTGCAGCTCTCGGAGAAACAGGTAGCAGCTCCTTGGAGGGACCTTCATTCCTCCCGCTTGGGCTCGCAGGCAGCCTGGCTGCGTGGGAGACCTTGGTGCTGTGGCAGACAAGACCTTTGCTGTGGGCAGGGTCAGGGCCCCGAAACGATGGTGGTTGTCAAGAGTTTGTCCCAGCGCTGGTGGGTCGGTGAGAAGCTGGAGCCTGAGGGGCGGGAGGGCTCTGCAGCACCCAGGGGGCTGGGGCTGAGCTGGGCTGAGCACCCCGCTGTGCCTGTAGCGGTACCTGGATGAAGCGGAGCGGGAGAAGCAGCAGTACATGAAGGAGCTGCGGGAATACCAGCAATCGGAGGCCTACAAGATGTGCACGGAGAAGATCCAGGAGAAGAAGATCAAAAAAGGCAGGTGCCAGCGGCGGCTCGGCGGCGCGGGGGGGTCCTGGGCAGCTCCAGGGGTGACCTGCTTCTCCCCTGCAGAGGATGCTACCGCGGCAGCGGTGAACACGCTGCTGAACGGGCACCCACACAAGGTAAGGGCCTCGCAGCCCCGAGCTGGGGGGCGGGGACACGTTGTCGCGCTGGGCTGGTGTGGGCTGCCCCATCTGTCCTCTCCCTCTCTGTCCTCTGCCAGGCTGGTGAGTGCAGCGACACCTTCTCCACCTTCGATGTCCCCATCTTCACGGAGGAGTTTCTGGACCAGAATAAAGGTGAGGGGCTGAGCAGCCGGGAAGGGGCCGTTGCCAGCAGAGCAGCTTCTCTTGCAGGGGGCCCTGGCCCTTGGGGAGCACCACAATAAGCGGGGCGGTTGCTGGAGCAGCCGGGAAGGCGGCAGCAGGGCTGTCGCGGGGTGCCACACGCAAGCTGTGCCACGTCCCTGCTGAAGATGGGTTTAGGGTGTAGATCCTGCCTGCAGCATAGGGGTTGGTGACGTGGAGCCTCTCTTGGAGAAGCAGGAGTTGGGAAGGGGCTGAGTCTGGGATGGGGCAGGGAAGGAATCGCCCTCACGGCCTGTGCTGACCCCGCTGCGTGCCGGGCAGCGCGGGAGGCCGAGCTGCGGCGCCTGCGCAAGATGAACACGGAGTTCGAGGAGCAGAATGCCATCCTGCAGAAGCACACGGAGAGCATGAACTGCGCCAAGGAGAAGCTGGAGCAGGAGCTGGCCCAAGAGGAGCGGCAGACGCTGGCCCTGCAGCAGCAGCTCCAGTCCGTGCGGCAGGCGCTCGCCACCAGCTTCGCCTCCCTCCCTATCCCCGGTGAGTCCCGGGCAGCCCTGGGGTGACTCGGGATCTGCGCGTGGCTAAACCTGGTGCAGACGGGGATGTTTCGGGCGTGTAATGGTCACATCTGCCCCTCCACTGGTGGAAAAGGCTCCTGGAGCGTTTTGGGAGCTCACCAACCAGATGATTTTCCATGGCTGGGATAGGACAGGCTGGGAAGTCTCCTAGTGTCCAGCCATAGTCGCAGATGCACCTGCAAAGCAGAGATTATCCCAAGTCCTTTGATTCCTGGGGTTTTACTGGTGTGGTCTGGGCCCTGCTGCGGAGTCCGGGGTCTTTTTCCCAGCCTCCAGCCTCACATGCAGGGCTGGAGCTCTGTGCCCCGTGGGCCCTGCCTGTGGCTGACGGGGCTGCTGCCCTGTAGGCACCGGGGAGACCCCCACACTGAGCACCCTGGATTTCTACATGGCCAAATTGCACAGCGCCATCGAGAGCAACCCGCTGCAGCACGAGAAGCTGGTGGTTCGCATCAAGGAGATCCTGTCTCGGATAGCCAGGTAAGCCGGGAGGGAGAGCCCTGCAGCTCACTCGGGCAGCCTGGGGGCCTTGGGGCCTGGTGAGCGCCCACCCGGGGGCTGAAGGGAGCAAAGAGGGTGCAGAGAAGGGCTTGGAGCTGTTGCTGCAGCTCTGGGGATCGTCTGGGGTCTCCTCATGGGCCTGGGGGGTGGCCGTGTCTCCTCAGGTGACACTAAGGTGCCCTTGGTGCTCCCAGGTGTGGGAGCAGGAGTGGGGAGGCTGGGCTGCATCTCGGGCCGGGATTTGGTGTCTGTGCTCTCCTTGCGTGAGAGACCTCACTCGGCCTTGCTCTCCTTCCTGCCCAGCGAGCACTTGTGAAGAGGACCAGCCCTTCCCGGAGCCTGGGGCCGGCCGGACCACGGCCCTGTCCCTTGGAGCTCCCACGAGGGACAGTCTCCGCAGGGGGTCCGGCTGCCTCCCCGGCCCCCCGGCACGCGTCTGCCTGGG